CGTTTAGGACTACTCGAATAATTGTTGAAAGAAAAATTGAATCGCTGCGATTGCACAGCTGGACAAGCATTTCATTGCTAACGTGGAGGTCACGGGTGACCTTCGTTATGTTACAATTAATCCCGAATTTTTGATTAGAAGAATCGATAAATAAAATAAGGGTACCACGATGATACCTAGATTGCGGATCTTTGTGCAAATATAGATTTTTACAGACTAATTTTGTTAAAATTGGAGTTGGAAAAAAGTATTAAAGATTGAAATCGCATTGAACTTTATTTATTACTTTGAAGGACACTATAAATGCACAAAATGCGCAGTCCAATGAAAAATAATTGAGTACTCAGTCTGTGAGAGTAATGATACTCTGAGAATATCATATTCACGAAAAAATTTACTGATCAAAAAAAGTATGGAAATTTTTGTGGTACTCAAACGAATTCTAGTTCGAGAGATAGCGACAGCTGTTCCGTGTGTCCGCACAGTTAGGCCACACATATCTGCCGTTCATGCAACGCCAAAAAATTGCAGCGAAACCTTGCTGAAACAAATTAATGGGACGAAGTGTCGAAGAAGTAGAAAGGCGATTAGTGGGTCATTAAAAAATGATACACATAGCTCGCAATTATAATACAGTCGATATGAATGGTTCGATGTTTTAATGGCGAGAAAAATAATAATAAAAGTAGTCTCGTTACGGAGTAATTAAATTAAAAGCAAGCTGATCGATTCAGAAGAGATCGGCATCGGCGCTCCAGAACCTGTGAGTGGAAAGTAGAAGATGATCAAAGTAAAAAAAAAAGGAAGTAGGATAAAAATGTTCTAGTGCCGACGATCTTCCATTAATTAAGAACTTTCACACATTTGTGAATCGTGTCCAGAATCAATGCTGTGCTATAGTTCTAAAGAAAACAATCACCTATGTGTCATCAACATAACGGAAACTCTACACCTGTGAAATGTTGCTAATGTTGCTATCTCCTAGGTAAAAAGTTAAGTATGTTATCCAATAATATCGTGGTGTGCTGTGCGTGTTGCATAAAAAAAGGTTTATAATGTACTGTATATAGTTAATAGCTAAGTCAGTTGTTTGTGAACACCTTTGTCAGACATAAAAATACAGAAAAGTACGTGGAGGCGAATTATATCAACTTTCTGGAGAAGAAACACATCTTACTGCGTTCTCCAAATAATTAATCCATTATGCACCTCTTTCATGTCATCAAACGCATTAAAAAGAAAACAATTAATTTTTCTATACAGTTCAAAACACTTCTGTCTAATATCACGTTTCCCTTTTCAATCTATTACCCTCTTAAAGTAATTGATTCCAAGTAAACACTATTTCGACACTAATAACATGTTGAAAATCAATTATATGTACACACTTAAATCGAATATACACTGTACACCAAATTATCGTAGTTTTAGCAACAGTCAACTGATCAGTGTCTAGAAATAAATATTAAATCAAATAATAATAAATACGCCATCTAATCTAATGAAGCTTTAATAACTCAAATATCGTCGAGTACATATTGTACACGCATTTAAACAACATATCTAATTTACAAAAAGAATCAAGAAAAATACAAGTAAACATATGTATATATATAGTCTCTTGCAAACAGCGATGAACTATCACAATGAAACACGATGGCACTAGAAGCGAAATTTTGAATATAGAGCGATTCAACGGTAATGATAAAAATCTGCTCGACGAATGGTTAATAATAAGTCGTTGTCCTCGAACCAAGCGTGATGATATTATCGCGTTAAATTCCGTCATGCTGCGTATAGTACCGAAAAAAAGAAGATCATGTAGTATGATGAGTTCGCGGCAGGTTACGCCCCCGATGTCATTTTTGCGGTAGCCATTTTGATTTTGCAGCTCGTCGAAGCGCGCGGCCCCTCAACCCACCATATTTCGCGAATAATTTGGCTGTCACTTACCGGAGACAATTCGGTTGGCATCCGCGATCACCCTTCGTCGTCGCTCGTCTTCGTCGACCTCGTCACGTGACTTTTTACTCATCGTGTCGGCCACGTGACATTTCTGTTCGAGAAACTCGGCCATTACGTCCCCAAGCTCTTTCTCCTCGCTCGCGTACTTATCTTTGATGGGGGTCGAGGTTCCGTTGAATACAGTGCCGTTTGTGATCGTGACATGCTGTTTTGCTGCTCGGGTGCGACAAACAAAGAAAAGAACAACAGTGATTTAAATTCGCGTGACTGAGCCAGCCGATTTCTCGCTGAAGCGCACAATTATGATATAACGTCCGATAGACGGATTGCGGACTCCACGAGAATGTGCAGGTTTGTCGAATACAACGAAAGGGTAGAATCTTTGCTGTAACTTAGCATACAGTGCACGGAATCCTTTCGATATGAAATAAATTCGTGTTGTAAAATTTGGCTATAGAGGCAATACGGCTGAGCTTAGTATGGATTATCGAGGACTAAAAGCGTACAGTCTGAATTTGAATGGTTTAATTTAGTGATATTTTTTAAATTATTGTGGATGATGGCGTAAATATGTTCCATGTTTGTAGTAGCGTCCAATAAAATCGAAAGAATGAGGGACGGAAGCGCATTTACAGCGAATATGGTATGCGAGTAAACATGTCGAATGAACAGGCGTTTCAGGACAGTGCGTTCGAAAAAATGTACAGTCAGACTTGTGATTTAACACGTCTTTCTTAGCAATGACACGAAGTAGAGCCGGCATATTATTCACAGAATTAATACAAGCAATGACGTCATATCCTTTCTAGAGTCATAATCACGTATTTGTAATATTCAATGGTATTTCATTTGTAAAATACTTTTCGCATATTTTTTGAAAATCTTCAATATAATCAAATAATTAAAATTATGGTTTATTAAGAGTAAGTCAGATTGAAAAATACATACTTGGTGTATCGTGTTTAGTGCCAGTAATACTGAGGTCTTCCACGGATTCAGAATCCTGGAGAATAAATTTGTTAAGTAACAAATCCGTAATAGGATTACGTAACGAACATAATTTCATCAGTTCAAAATTAGATATAATTACTCCTGTTTAATAATTATTTACTTCCTTTGTTTTGATCGTTACTGAGTCATACTTTTATCTTCCGCAAGATCTTAGATTCAGAATTCCTTACTTAACATTCTACTTCTTATGACATCTCATATGACTAAACCTGGAGTAATCATATTATTTCTTTCTCAAATAATTACTAAAATCTTCTAAAGACAAACCTTAGTTCTATTAAGATCGTAATCCGGATCCATCTTCGGATCCATTTTCGCGTCGCGGCGCAAGGAAGTGTCCCTAGAAGGTCCCAATTCTTCTTTCAAAGAATCGAATCCAGGTTGATCCAGTCGGACTCTGGCGACAGCTTTTTCCACGTCGTCGGTCACCAATTCCACGTTAAATATACACTTTTTCACGATGTCCTCGCGGCCAATCTTATTTAGTGCCTTTTCGATAGAGTTTCCTGCACATGCAAAGAGATTTTTATTTAAAATAATCGATACAAAACATTCAATATCACTGGATCAGCACTGTAAATACATCTCCAATCGATGACAATTTTCCTGTCAAAGGTACGGACCTGAACTCACGGAAATCTGATATCTCTGTGCCGGTGACCGCCTAAACATCAAGGATAACTCACTGACGTAAGTATTCGTCGCTTCGTTCTCGTACTCTTGGTACAAGGATATAAACATTGTGAAATTTATGTCTCACCAAGGCTACGATAAAGAAATGATTAACAAATAAACGAAAAACTTTAGGAAGACCCTCTATGCACTGTCACTTTCACTGTATTCACAATCGAACGGAACGCAGTTCTGTTTACTTTGAACGATTGCAGAACTAAAGCGATGTGCGGTACGTGCATTGCTGTCGTGTGTCAGTGCCACCAGTATTGGCAAAAAAGGGGGGGGAGAAAAGAGTCCATAGGTTTATGTCAGGCATAATAATGCAGGGATGAGATCACCAACTACGTTGCTCCTCAGATTCCACACGTCTTAGTCAAACGCGCACGTCTGATTAATTGACCTTGCCGAGAAACAGGTTCCTTTTAAATTTCGCTATCTGCTACTACATCTCGACACGCTCACCTTTTCGTGAGATATTTCAATCTGTACCGAGGAAAAAAAAACAAATCGCGGGTTGATTCATGATTTCTCACGTTATCGAAACGTTATCGAATAGCTATTATTAATCTTATAAATCGATGTCTGCTTCAGGTTAAATGGAAATGAGTACACGGTTCTCGGAAATATCAATGGAGCAAGAAAACAACTGACCACTCGTGACATGTACTCATTGATTCAACGAACGGTGAGTAAAAGTATGAGAATACTATGCTTCGAAGAATCAATTTCGACTGTTTTCCGAGCGTATTTATAAAGCTGAGATAATAAGTATCAATAGCGGTACAAGTATGGTAGCACGTTTAATATTAGGCGTGATGTGCCGTGAAAGTATACATAACAATTAGACCTTCACTGATTCAAGACACGGAACGAAGGATTTCTCATTGCCAGTGGAAGAGAATAGTTTTCCTACAATAGGTTTCTGCGATAGAGAAAATGTTTTTTGAACGTATATGGAGCACACTTGTGGATAGAAGAAACTTGGTTACAGTGTCTGACCATTAATAGCCTTATCTATTTGTGTTAATGATTGTAGACCAAGGCAATGGAATCGTAAACTCTATTTTCAGCAAATTAGCTTAGAATAACAGAACATTTTCAGTGACAAATTGATGTAGAATAGTAGAAAACTTTTAGCGATAATTTATATTAGAATAATAGTTAGAAAATAATATTATCAAAGCTCTCGAAACATTTATATCAATAATATATTGAAAAAAAATAACGCAAAACATTACATGATTCACAATCTTGAGTCGTATAACACGTTACGTAATAGCAAACATACCTGTAGCCTTGTTTGCATCTTTCTGCCAGATCTTCAGCATCGCCGCGGCCTGCCGGGCAGGTTTATTAGAATACTCCTCCTTAATGGAGGACACCTCGTTCGGTGGTATGTTCAATTCCTCCGCGAGCTTCTCCCAGTCGGAGCCCAACAAATTCGCAATATCAGTTAATCTTATTGTTGCTCTGTGAATAGTGTCTGGACGACCTACAGGAAGCAATTAACATTGAAACGATTCTAACTTGTACATCCGTCGGTATCGGAGCTAGGATCTACATACTTATGCCACCGTCGCGTAGAAAACTATAATTCTTCGAGAGCTCCAACAGATCGACCTCCGAGACAGCTGGTTCCGGTGATATTTTCTCTGGCAGTAGGATATTTAACGTGCAAATCGGTGTCTGAGGCAGCTCGCCCTTAGGAACCTTCGGCTCGCTCATGAACATAATGCGGCCCATCATGTCCGCAGCGTCCGGATCTTTTACTCTTGCTGTGAACGGAACTCTATTCTCCTTGAACGCTCTAAACGGCAACTGTAATTGCTCGCCGCTCTTCAATACTGGAACTAGGTTGCCCGAAAACTCCATGTACTGCGTCTTTCCTTCTAAAACCTGCAGGAATCATTTTCAATACGAAGATTTGTCATTACGTGCTTACGTCGAAATCTATTTTGAAAAATATTTAAATTTTCAAATTTGAACATTTTTCTGTCGAAAATGTCTCAGATTTTTCTTTCAAAAATTGAGAATGATAGAGAACAACGAGTTGTATATTAGAATTCAGCATAAGAAATAGTATTAAGATTGCTCAGTAAACCTTTCTAAACAAAAACAAAGTTAAATTTTGTAGACCAGTGTAATTAAATGAAAGTTTTTCGTCACTTGGTAAATGTTTGTTTATTAATTTGTTTAAATACATTTTTAGTTGTGAGAGTTTATTGTGATGATGATCAATGTTATATATCGTCCTCGATGAGGGCTCTGTGTTTAGTTGTTATTTTCTATTAAGATCATGAAAATTAGAACAGGCAAATGCAGGTGTACTTACCTCGACATCTCGACTCTTCGCGACTTCCGTGAAATGCTCTTGATTCTCCAGAGTCTTGTCTTCTTTGTCGTCAGTCATACAGAAGACGCGAAGCCTTGCTTCCAGCGGATCTACTCGCTTTGCAAATACTACAAATCTGCGGATGAAATGCGTTTGAATAATATTTGGTGGCTAAGCGAGATTGTAATCATGCAGGTAAAACGTAGTCGATCGACGTTGCGAATAGGATTATTAAAGAATATATGAAAGATATATTAAAAAAGAAGAAATACTAAAGTTATTAACAGGATATTCTTCGCTACAATATCCTGCACTTCATCAGAAATGTGAACACTACTTTTTTTTAAAATAATTATTGGCAAAGCATGTATGAATCTAATCTCGAAAGACATTCCTCTTAGAAACGCTATGTACACGCAATCGATTTGTTTAGAACACTTGCAACGAGGAAATTAAAAAATTTTCGAAAATTTCGTATATTATACGTAGATGATATTAATGGAATGAATTTTTCTTTCTGTACATTTGTTAATACTGTTACCTATGCATACGTATAATATACGAGTAGAAATGTTCTACCTGCGATTACGGGAAGCATTTTGCTTTTTCTCTTTTCTTTTTTTTGTTATTTTATTAATAAATTGAGTTTGAATGATTTTAAAAACGTACTTAGCCATGAAAGGTACGTGTGTCGCATGTGTGTATAGCTCTGTAGCCATTTTCGTGGCTTCGGAAATATTCCGACAATCCATTAACCAGAAGCGAGCGGATACTGTGGTAGTAAAGGAAACGCAATCTTTGACGAACGTGAGCGGCGTCGAACCTGTGACATCCTCCCAGACTGCCCGAGACTGACCCCCTGAACGACATATATACCAAGTCCAATAACATTATTAAAATATGTCCGTGTTACGAATACAGAATCGGCAGAAGTGATATGTGTGGGATTAAACCGATGCGACCGAGATTAATTACAATTACGACCACTTTCACGACTACTAATTAAACACATGACTTTCTGTATTTGTAATATTCAGAAATGTGATTATAAATTTGACTATGAAAAGAACATTATTTATAAAATTTGAAAGTATTTAGAAACGTGTGAGTTAAAAGAGTCTTGTTCTTTCATTGGTTTTGTGTGACAGATTTTAAGGATTAGAAATTTTATAGAATAATACGTTGTATTAAAGGTGGTGAAATTATATAATTAAAACAAGTTCTATTGAATTGAATGATGCACAAATTTTATAAGGAAATTAGTACTGATGGGTTTAATTTAAAACGTTGAATGGTTCATAAATATGCTAGGTGTGCACATTGAAAATAAGATTGAATGAGATTTAAAGAAATACTATTTTCAAATAATACTTGTTCTGCTTGTCTTAGTTTTTTGAACCAACTGCTACATTGAAAAATTATCATAAATGACAATAATTATAAATAACATCATCCTTATTGTATTTAATATCGGTCGCCATAAGTGCGTTCATGTTACGTGCTGTATCGTGTGTGAGTAATATCAAACAAAATATACGACGACCGAATAATAATGCTTGCTAAATGAAGGAAAAAGCGTCATTCAAAAGAATCGCGCTGAAAGCAAAACGCGAGTCGTGTGAGTATGCGTTTGAAAGAAACAAGCGATAAAGAAATAAAAGTATGTGAAATAATACTAATCAAAACGCGTCGTGATGTACGTCGAGAACGTATCCCTTCAGTTCCATCGCGATAAACAAATTTTACAACGCCCCATTTTGGTCTCAAGCACAATGCCAAATATTTTAACGAAACAGAAACGAGATTTCTCATTCGAAAAAGAACCGTACGGTACCGTGAAACTCAGAATCGAATTCTGTTAACATTTTCAATTTGTAACCATTTTTCTGTACGAATACAAAAATGTTAATACAGCATGGCTGTAACAAATATCAAGATTAAAGAAACAATATTGTTAGTCTTCGTATCAGTAACGTGACGTATGAATACATATCAGAATGATCTATCAATACATATATATATATATCGTAGATATACAATTTGGTAAATATTATATATATAAATTACAAGCCTAATATTGAAGCAGTTACCAGTCAAACGAATGTGCTGAAACAAAAACTCTGAAGTTAACGCTTACAATGAGCTAGGTAATAAAACTTTATCTACGTTAATTAATAATCCATACCTAAATGACTCAATCCTAACAATATGCAAGCATTAACAATGAATCACAACAAGATATGTATACAACAATGGTACTCAACGAAATGTTTCTATGAAACATGCAGCTACCATCTCCCTTTTAAATCTCTATCCGAAGATCTCCGGGACGTAATATTCAGGTCCGTCCAAGCCTATCGTTTCTTTAACACTCTCATCATCAAAACCTAGTTGCGTAACTAAAATAATCTTTCGGTCCCTACAGTATCGGCTATCATTCCTGCTCTTCGTAACGCATCGAAATTAGTTAGCTATGATGTAATTAGCTCCGGTGCGACGAGATGAAAATTCTAAACTCAGTCCCGACGACCTGGAAACAGACGACGATGCCTAACGCCCGCGTCATGCCTACTGAACTACTTAGATTGATCCTCGTATGCGATATATGTCTGATAAGAGCATAATACAATGTATATATATATATATATATACATCAAAGGTGTTGGCGGCGTAACAGTTTCAGCGTTTATCGGTAAGAGATTCTCCAGTAAGACGGTACGCTGCTCTACAATGTTACGTGCAAGCATATATTACCAGTTATGCTGCACAGAAGTCTCAACGTTGGCGCGTCCCCAGAATATTGATTGATCATGCCTTTGTTGGCTGCCTGCGGCACTGGTATTGTTAAGGTTATCGGTTTGTGGAATTTCCTACGCCGTGGTTCAACGGTTACGATCGGCGATACCGCCACTCGGTTGCCCAGCAGCTTAGCTACCAGGTCTGCTGGTATCGGATGCGCCTAAACACAAATGCAATTGCTCGTTGTCCGACATTTCAGTGAAAGTTTCTTTATCTGATTTTTATCAGACCAGTGGTTAGAGACTTCTTTATGTATTCGTCAATGGCAATGGCAACTAGTAACTAATCAATCATTTGGAATAATATAATGTGAGAATTTGTTGGGCACTATTGATTAGATGATTGAGTTCTTTCTTCAAATAACACGGTTATTAAGAAGGTTATAAATTTATGATGTTTTTTAAAATTTAAGGTTCATGATAATATGAAGTATGATACGTACCTGAAGACCAACTCGAATTTTTTTGGTAAGAGCTGCTGGTGGGAAAACAGCTTGGACTTGCGGGACAGCCGATGATGACACTGTGCCGCCTTCCGGACCAACTGCATGGACCTCTTGCCTAATGCGAGACACTACTGCAAAGTAATGTGGGAAGTCTGCAGTCAGTATCCTTACGATTCGGGAAGTTTGGAGATCCTCGAGCTGGCTTAATTCTGAAAAAAATAATTGAATACGTTTTGTTGATTAATCAAAAAGATAGTGGAAGAAATAATTGAATACGTTTTGCTAATCAAGGAGATAGTGGAAGATTTTGTATTTTAACATATTCACTAATACCATTTATTGGTAACAATCTTTGTAGCTATGATATGTTGTGAAATCAAATGTATCTTCTATAAGAAGTATTAAACAAATTATACAAAGGAATTTCATGTAAAAGTAAATTATTCTCTTCACGTAAATATGAAGTAGTGGATGTTGCTAATTTGTAATAAATTCGTAACAAATATGTTTATGTGAGAGAGTAATGTGTAAAACATGAGATTACAAGGAAAACCGTACCTTCTCCTTCAAAGCTCTCATTAAGCACATCCTGGACCGCCTCCTCGCTGGCTTCCAAGGTGTGCTCGCGCCAAGTTTCTCCGTTGTCCGATCGAAGTATTACTATTTCTCGTTCCTTTCCTCGCAACGAAGCAAAGTGAGGCACCTCTATAATCACTGGCCTGGTCACAAAGAAATGTGAACATCATTATTGTAGATTTCGGTCAGAAAAGAAAAAATCGAAGAATTATCAGATAATGAAATTGCATAAAGATCGTCATCCGTGTAGATAATAAGTGAAAGTAACCCTCGTATGAATAAATAACTAAACGGAAAAAAGTGAATTTTCACGAAGAAACTTTTTCTTACGAAACTTCGTTTCCAAGATAATTGATTTCGAAAGTTTGCATAATACACATTAGTATTCATAAGAAGTAGAAACATTAAGTCATGAGCAGACGCGTTAACAGATTCCTAGCGAATACCAGACACGCCTGATGCATTTTTGAACATGATTATCTCGGTAAAGAAGAGTTAAACAATTATTCTTCATCTACTGTAGTAATACATTCTCATTTTACAAAAAAAAATGATAAAATTTAGAAATAAAAAATTGAAAATAAAAGATTACATTAGGTTATAGTTTAGATTTTTTTAATTATATTATCTAACATACTAATACATTCTTCCTTTATAAAGAAATTTTTATATTCAGAAATTAAAAAGTTGGAAAATGTAAAGCATAATTACGTTATAACTTATTTATTACCATAGCAATACCTTTCCATTTTATAAAGGAGATTTTTTAATTTAACACGCTGAACGCCGCACGATTTCATAAACCAAAATACACAAAATAGAAAAGATATAATATGAAATCATTTGATTGAATTGAATTATTATTACTACACGTTTATCTAGCTGAATGTCACCGCATTAGGTAGCATTATTTATAATATAGAAATGTTTTCAAATAATTATCGTTTAATTGAGTGAAGTATAGTAATTCGATTTAGTGGGGGGTCATTAGTGACACCCACGGTATTCAACGTGTTAAAAAAAATGTTGAAAATATAAAGGATCGAGTTAAAGTTCACGTCATACCCTAAGAACTTCGCACCCACAGGTCCCAGTTCAAGGATGCGGCTGGCCAAAGCCTCCCCTTCCATCAAAGGTGGTGGATTGGTCAATTTGTCCCGCCTGAGGTATCTACAGGTGACGCGCATCGGCATCGCAGCTTTTCTAGGGGGAACGATTACGCGGACACCGCTATGCCTACAGCCCCGCATCGCACCCCCTCGTGCGTCCACCAAAAAGGAAACCAGGAAGCTGTCATTTACACAAGACATAAGATTTTAGAAAAACCATCGTGTCGTCGGTCGATTGCGACGAACGAAAATATATCGGCTCAGCTGGATAAGTTATAACACGACTTGAAAATAAGAGCGTATCATTCCATAAGGGCTAATTATTTAGACAAGTAATTATATAAATAGTTATTTAATACTATATGGCGTATGAATATGTTGTGCGCATACGTATAGATTTATTGCAATCAAAAAACAGCTGGCCTTTCGGGAGATAAACGGACATGCCATTCGCTTAAACGAAAGTAATTACAATTAAATAGAAATAAACCGCGTCTTCGCTAACAGTAAAACAGACATTTACATCGATCTAAAGTTCTCGCGGAACTATCACAGTCCCCGAATACTTCTGTACACTGACAAACTAATTCTATATTCAAAGATAATAAGTTACTAATTTAACGAGATTACAGTTTTCCATTATTTTCTATTATCGTACTGTATTTATTAAACAATTTCTGGCGGAGAAAATGAATTTCTTTAATCGTTTCTCTTTAAACATTTGTAATAAAAGAAAAAAAAAGACACTTCGGAAGGCCATGTATATACCAGGACCACGAAGTTATTTCGTAAGTATCAAAAGCACGCCAAGCCGAAAAGCAATTTTTGGAAAAGACTTTCTCTAAAAGCAAACAGTTATGGATTGCGGGAACAATCATCAAACATATAACGTCTTTTCGCTCGGTATTATTTACAAGATGGCGTTAAATGTTTCGGTTCGTCCTGACGTTACGAAGAATTCTACGCTCCGCGCGTAATCGATCTTCTTACGATGAACAAATGATATTAATGCGAGGGTAATTATGTGCAAAGATAAATTACATGAGAGATGGAGCAAAATAAATCTTAATTAATCAGAACAATCATGGCTGTAGAGTAAACCCTGTGTCGGGGATTTACTGCAAGCAGAAAACTAATCGACACTCAGTGTTATGTAGACAAAAAAAATGAAAAATACAGAGATCATGAGAGGCGATGGAATCGTGTTCAAAGATCCATTCGACTTTTTCTTGTTACCGGCTGGTGTTGGTGCCAGTGGATCGATTTTCGCGATGAACCTAGGAATTATTCACAGAGAAGTTGCGTGTGACGTGTGCACAGTGAATATAAACCGGCGTACCCGCGCGGAGTTTTAAATCGAGACGATGATGTTTTGATCGCGATTTGCTTAATTCACGCGTTGAATTGTAAAAATAATCGTGTACGCGATAAAATTCTGTCGACCACGACAGTTCTTTTTTTCTCCTTCAGATTCTCACTATCTCTCTCTCTCACTATCTCTCTCTCTCCCTCTCTCTGTCTCTGTCTTTCCTTCGATACACTGAATAGTCTAAAAATATCGATCACGAATGAATTCCACAAACATTGCTCAAGCGAGATGATGCAATGTCATTCATTGTTTGTTTTGCGTTTGAAACACGTTATTGATAGTCGGTGTTAAATTAAAATTCATTATGAATGATTGCATCAACCAGAAAGAATATATGAATTTCATTAAGTTTGTAGTGTGCTAATGACTACCGTAATAATAAGAATTTATTTTCGTAATATTTTCTGTTATGATTTTGTGTTAACGAAGATTGTTTGAGATATTCTTTAGTTGTTCTAGTTATTAGAATAATCCATCAGATCATAGATAACATTTTATACTACAAATAAATATTTCTCGAAAGCAATCGCTTAATGATCGTATATCGAAAATTTTATGTATGGTCGAGTTAGGTGTAATCAATCAGGATTTTCGGTCGCGTATATTCAGTGTGCACTACTATCGATCTAACTATATTCGAGCGTCTACGGGCATTGTGCAGATATACAGAAAATATACAGAGAACATAAATCATAGTGTAGAGCGGTATGGCAAGTAACAGAAGCTAAGATTCAAGAGAAGATCACTTACTTTCTCCATTGTGGAATTCTGCGAGTAGCGCAAATAAAATAACAGAGGATCGGGAACAAAATAAAAAACGCGTTAGTATCCATTCGTTCATAAGACATGGTAATGAGAGATGACGACATAAAGAATGGTGTCGAGAGTCTGAACTAGCGCAACTTTTACAGATTTTCGAATCTATTGTGTCGAATACGTGTGTCTCGTTTCTCTTTCTCTTTTTTTCTTTCTGTTAGCACGTGGGCAACGATATCGTATCGAAATATGTTGTGTTGCTTCCGTGCCATGGTGAGGGTCGCCTTTCTTTCGTTTGGAATTTTTCGAAAACCCGCAATCATCACACGCAAGCCACTTTTTCTATTGTACAACACTACAAAACAGGATAACAATAATAATTATGTATTATAGTAGAGACGCAACGGGGCCACATCATTCACACTCTGCGGAAAAAAGATATACGTTAGGACAGCAACGTAAAGCAGACCGTCTCGAAATCTGTTACCAATCAAATTGTTTTGTATTTAACCAAGAATCGACGAATTTTTAGAATACAACAATCTGACTGAAGATTTTATGCAATCACGATCTGCTACGATCTTTAAAATACCATAAAAAAAAGAAGCCGCGATCGTCATTAGAAAATCATGAGGAAAGA